TACAGTTGTGTACACTTTTACCATGTGTGAAACCATTGATATCAGGTAAATTAAGCACAGAACACGTTCACAATATACAAGCTGAAAACAACATTGCACAGACCATATACACTGACGGATCACTCAATACAGCTACAGGGAGGACAGGAAGTGCTGTTATTGCTCATCAGCCCGATGGCAGCACAATTCGAAGCAATATCCGAATTAGTAACTGGGCGTCCACAATGCAAGCCGAGTTGGTAGCGATACTGGTAGCACTCGAAATTATTGACAACACTGAAGTAGACGGCTTAATTATTTCTGACTCCCTTTCCTCACTACGAGCAATAAACAGTTTGCAATCACGTAATAACGTGCTTGTCTTTAAAGCTAGATGTAGATATATAGGAATACTTAGCAAGAGGGTAAATATAAAAATGTTGTGGATTCCTTCTCACATTGACATGCAGGAACATGACAAAGTTGACGCCCTTGCTAAGGCTGCAGTAAATAAAGACAGTATTGAACGGAATCTTGAGTTATCAAATAGGTCCCTTAAAAGTGTCCTTAGACGAGAACTCCTGGATGAATTTGAAGAAAGTAGAACTGTGCAAACTGGAACTAGCAGGTCCATTGTTCATCACAATGAAATGTGTGGAGTAAAACATGTGTATGGGGCAAGTAACAAAGTCAGTAGACTAACAGATGTTGTCACAGCTCGTATAAGACTTGGCTACAAGTATCTCTGGCAGATCGGCTTGTATAGGGATCTAGATGAAGTAAAGTGTAAAGTGTGTGGACAAAGACAGGACACACACTCGAACACTATATCTTGGATTGTAGTAAAATTGAGCCTTTTAGAGATAAATCTAAGCTCACTCTGTATGATATGGCAACCTATCTTATTACCATGGATAAATTACCTGAAATCCTTGCACTGTACCCACATTTCGCTTCCAGTAGATGAACGACATATGAGATTCAGAAACAAGTAGTGTATTGTGAGGACTAATAATAAACAGAAGCTTCCCTATGACTCTGTAATATCTCCATTGGTCAAACTATTATATATTAGCGATAAGACCAACCATTAATGTATGATGACTTACTGTAAATATGTAGCTCTTGTAATAGCACTTTCTCTGTAACTAGCTGACATTGTAACTATAAGGTGTGAAGGATAGATGAAATTGTTTATGTAATAATCTAAGATGAGGTCTGGTAAAGACCTTTTGTGCCCTCTGTAATGCTTTTGCGCTACCGCTCACAGGATGAGTATGGGGTGCACAATATACTCTTTGCCTTCGGCGGCAACAATCAAATTCATTGATTGGTTCCATCGTTAATAAATCTTCCTGTGTGATATACTATCCTTGCAGCTGTCTGTACATCGATGGTGAGAGTTTGGTTTGCCTGGCGACGTGGGGTTCGATACCAAACACCACCTAGTACGGTGACTGCTGTACACCCAGCGAATATGCCATATTGTTAATTTGCACGAAGGGAAGCATTGTCGCCGCTGGCCCGTTCTATGCTTTCCTGACTGGTGTATGCAGGGGCTTATTGTTTATTAGGATTAACTTGAGCCATAGTTCCGCACATAACTGATGAATCACTGCAGCCACGGAATCACAGCTGTTGTCGCTCTGCAGATATCGAGAGGCTTCAGTAATTTAAAGATATTCAGCAAGTGACAGGCGACTTCTATCGACTGCTTGGAGCCGAGAACTTGGTTAAATTGTCTTGATTATGAAGAATGTAGTTGTATGAACATCACCCATCCTTGTGCATGTTTATTAAATCCATCTGTCTACTCACCTCGAAACTCTTAACATGATGGGTTTAACCACTCCATTCTTACACCACATTTTAAGTTGCAGATGGGATACAATGAATTTGCGTTTTACCTCTTGAGTTACATTAGCAATCGTCTTATTTGAAAATAGGTTCTTTTTCTCCCCCCATGGCAGATCGTGTTGTGTGCATCGCAAATTGTCATATAATGGCCCCTGATGTATGAATCTGCAGTACACACACATGGTGTCTGATGGGAAGACTGCTGCTGATGTTGAATTAATCAACTTATGTTTTATCACCTGCTTCTATCTCTAATCCGTTTCATCGACGGTCACTAGAACGTCTTCCCTAAATATGTTTTTCATACCGTATCGTGATAATAGATCATATATTAGTGGGAAGTTTTGGTAATCTTAAGTTTGGATTCTTTGACATTGCGAATGTTTTTTTTTAATTTTCCCAACAAAAAATCTTTCGACTTCCCTGTCCCTCCGCCTCATTTTGAAAAAAAAAAATTAGCATTTCTGAAGTTCAAATTCTGCCTTGTGACAAACTTAGTCTTCCTTCCCATCTCCTAATACTTCACCTCTTTGTCCTCTTTAATAATGACGATGGAGCATGAGAAGTTGAAGGTTCTAATCCGATATCCATTGTTTGGGAATCTTACTGACACTGTTATGTCAGTCAACCATATATAGGTCAAGATACCCATAGGGGTGAACGGGAAAGTAGTTATAGCTGAAAAATAGCAGGAGAGAGAAAAACGTCAAAGTTGGAAAGAAACAGCCAGGGCTAAACCTAGCTGCTCGGTGTGAACCTAGGCTCTCGCCAACCTGTCCAGCTAGGCAAGGGTCTCGTGTTGAGGGCGATGAAGCGAAGACAGCTGTCATCGTGAGTGGTGAAGTTTTCTTTCTTTGGTGCTGAAGTCTTCTGTCATCTGCGTCGGTCTTAACGATGACGGGCGTGGTGCCCAAGAAAAACACAAATAAAAACAGGCAATGTCTAGGTCCTAATTCCCCCTAAAGAAGGGGATGGAGGATTTAACCTATCTTGTGGATGATGGGTATTTTTCTTCATTAGATTGGATTTGTTGGCCCGTTGATGTCTCGTCGCAACACGCCATTCCTGTTTGGAGTTTGGGCCGTCTGATTGGGCGATGTGTGATATCGTCACTTTGCTGCTAGGATCGGAGTTTTCCTTTTGTGACATTACATAGGTAAATTAAAGATTACATAGGTAAATTAGGACAGATTAGGACATAGGACAGATTAGGACATAGGACAGATTACATAGGTAAATTACATAGGTAAATAATCAGGGCGGTGGTGATGTGTTCTTCTAGAGTTCTAGTGAGTTCCGCACGACCGTGATAGTGCCACAGCTGGTGCCAGTGGAGACGAGAGCGTTTGGTATGTTGGTTTCACTGTTGAACTTGGGGGTCCTACTGACGAGAGTGTAGCTTCGTCCTCTGGGGCAGTGGAGAAGTTACCCTGGTCTGGATCCGTTGTGGTGTTTGCTATTAGCTCTGAGGAAGGCTTTTCGACTCTGGTGTTGTCGGGTCCGCTGGTAGAGGCCGACGGCGTGTTGCTTGGATCAGTTGTCTCTGTGTATCTTGTAAAGAAGACCTTGGAGATCTTGAAGGTAGGTAGGTTTTTCTCAGCATAGTTCATTTAGTACTGTGTAGTACTTCCCGATGTTGATCCAGTCATAAGGGCTGCAATGTGTATGAGAGCAGGAATCATACTTTTGTACGGGGTGTCTTGTGATGGAAGTGGAGTGTGTGGCAACCAGCCCGTCCTCCAAACAAACTCGGTCCATTCCATTCACCCGCCAAACCCCAGTTTATGAATGAAAAACGGTTTACACAAGACTCACGACTGATGAACATAAGAACATAAGAACAAAGGTAACTGCAGAAGGCCTATTGGCCCATACGAGGCAGCTCCTATCTAACGGAGCTGTACATCCGGAAGAAGTGCTTCGCTGATGACTTATGTTTGAACTACAATGCTGTAAATGCTTCACACACGTTATACAAATAATCGCCAACAGAACGTAAACATTTAACCTAACCAGTGCCTTAATATGCACTATGCCAATATATAATAATAATATTTTATATTTGAAAAAAGTTATGTTTTGAAAGAACAATGTTAAAATTGATAAATAAGTTTTTGGGGTCGAGGTTGGATAAAATGGATTTGGTCCAAGGATGGGTTTTTGGTGACGCCTGGGTCGGTGTTTGGCCGGGCTGGGTGAGTGATGACGCCTGGGTCGGTGTTTGGCCGGGCTGGGTGAGTGATGACGCCTGGGTCGGTGTTTGGCCGGGCTGGGTGAGTGATGACGCCTGGGTCGGTGTTTGGCCGGGCTGGGTGAGTGATGACGCCTGGGTCGGTGTTTGGCCGGGCTGGGTGAGTGATGACGCCTGGGTCGGTGTTTGGCCGGGCTGGGTGAGTGGTGACGCCTGGGTCGGTGTTTGGCCGGGCTGGGTGAGTGATGACGCCTGGGTCAGTGTTTGGCCGGGCTGGGTGAGTGATGACGCCTGGGTCGGTGTTTGGCCGGGTTTGGCCGGGTGAGTGAGTGATGACGCCTGGGTCGGTGTTTGGCCGGGCTGGGTGAGTGGTGACGCCTGGGTCGGTGTTTGGCCGGGCTGGGTGAGTGATGACGCCTGGGTCGGTGTTTGGCCGGGCTGGGTGAGTGATGACGCCTGGGTCGGTGTTTGGCCGGGCTGGGTGAGTGGTGACGCCTGGGTCGGTGTTTGGCCGGGCTGGGTGAGTGGTGACGCCTGGGTCGGTGTTTGGCCGGGCTGGGTGAGTGATGACGCCTGGGTCGGTGTTTGGCCGGGCTGGGTGAGTGATGACGCCTGGGTCGGTGTTTGGCCGGGCTGGGTGAGTGATGACGCCTGGGTCGGTGTTTGGCCGGGCTGGGTGAGTGATGACGCCTGGGTCGGTGTTTGGCCGGGCTGTGCGAGTGATGACGCCTGGGTCTGCGATTTGCTAATACCGCGGGAGTTACTCGTCTAGTAATTGAGGTGTGTGGAGGCACTATACTCACGGTGCCTCTTGTAGGGAGGTCTGGGAAGGTTTCAGCCTGTATATTGAATGCCTTGGTCGATCTTGAGATAGCGGTGGTGTAACGGTTACCAGCCCAATCTTTTAATTTATATAAAAATTTAACCAATGCCTCAAAAAATATTCAAAATCTACCCTATCTATAGAATTTACAATCTGCAGATTGTATCGAAATAATCGGCATAATTCAAATGCTGAATCCAATTATCTGACACCTGACTGTAATGCTGTTTATAGTCCAGCAATCTTCCCAATACATCTGGAAGAAAAATTCAATACTCAAAATTGATATAACTAAATTCAATATTCCAACCACTATCACAAAATCTGGCCAACAAATATCATTGGCCATCGGCGTCCATCAACGTGTTTCGTCATGAACAAGTAACACAAGAATTCCAATACATGCTGATGTCTGACTGCTTCAGGAGAGGAACACTGAACTCTTCAAGTTCATTCATGTGTTCCAGTCACCACCTGTGGTTACTTTTTGCCACATGTCACTTAATTATCAAACCTAACATTCAAAATCAATGTCCAAAATGACATTCTGACAATCTTACAAATGTGTTTATTATCAATACTACTTTTAATATCACAGTTCTCAAATGAGTACACAGCAACAAAATGTGTACATCCAGCTAAGAGTATCAAGTTAATGTTGTCAACCCCTCTTGCACCAATGAATGCTGAGCAAGAAAATGATGATAATTATAATTTCTAGAACCTACGTCCTAGACACATTGCAATAACTCTCATACTAGAGAGCTCTATCTCGAGAACGGGTCCATGTGAAAAAATTATACATATCCACTTTAATAGAATTTCACTACTATATTTCTAGGTTTCAAGGTTTAGGTTTTCCAAAATTACATTCCTAGGTATTCAGAGATCTTACATTTTTCAGAAATTGAATACAATGACAACAAAATAGAGCAAACATAACATTTTAACATTATTACACAACAAATGTTCTTAAAAAAAAAACTTTTCTACTATGTTAGACCAGTGACGTGTAGTTGATTGTAGTTCCGACGACCACCAATTTTTGAATATGGAGAATCCTGGTCCTCTTGTACACCATTCCGGTTTCTGCTGAAGAATGATAGAACTATCCGACCATATATCACTTGGGTGATAGGTGAACGCTTGTGGCTGGCTGCAGCCTGCCGGGTGAACCTTGCTAAAGAGACACGGCTCAATATTCAACTATGAGGTCACAAAACAGTAATGATGGATGAGACTGAAACAACAGGTGACCACAGTAGAACAGGACATAGACGTACAACGGTCTCGCTCTCGGGACGGAAGCGGCTTCAGTGTCGTTGAGTTGGGTGGCGTGTTTGCAAAACAGGTGAATCCTGACTTCAGTCACCATAGTTCGTTATTAGGCGTTTCTTGGTGTCACAAGACTACTAGGCCGTAAACCCCATTTGTGTATACCCTCGTACAATTGACCTTGGGCCGAAAGAAGCAATTTTCACCTTTCTATGGCGAGTCGACTGTACTCTATAGGGAATCCATGCACTTCGTCCTTGTGACCGCCTTTGTTCCGCTTCTCCGTTACATCAGACGACGGAACCACAGATATTGAGAAGAGTGATCAGTACTGCTACTGGCTGGCTCCCTCTCGGATCTCTCTTCATTCAATTCCGGTCTGCCTGCAGCCTTGACAACGTGGCTGGTGGGTGGTGGTGACATAGATACAGCTACCGACGATGGTGTTAAACGTTGATATCCGGCGACTTCTTCATTGTAGACAGCATACTGAGCCAAGACAATCTTGCTTGTGACGTGAGGTGTCGGCCGGGTGACTGGTGTAGGTGTCACCCCTTCTAAGTAACCAATTCAGAGCAGGAGAGATTGCTGAAATAGAGGGAATACAGAGAACATATACGGCACGCATAGATGCAATAAAGCACCTAAATTATTGGGATCGTCTCAAAGCCCTCCAAATGTACTCACTAGAAAGAAGACGAGAGAGATATCAAATAATATACACGTGGAAGATACTGGAGGGCCAAGTACCAAATCTACACAGTAAAATAACAACGTACTGGAGTAAACGATATGGAAGAAAATGTAGAATAGAACCAGTGAAGAGCAGAGGTGCCATAGGCACAATCAGAGAACACTGTATAAACATCAGAGGTCCGCGGTTGTTCAACGTCCTCCCAGCGAGCATAAGAAATATTGCCGGAACAACCGTGGACATTTTCAAGAGGAAACTAGATTTATTCCTCCAAGGAGTGCCGGACCAACCGGGCTGTGGTGGGTATGTGGGCCTGCGGGCCGCTCCAAGCAACAGCCTGGTGGACCAAACTCTCACAAGTCAAGCCTGGCCTTGGGCCGGGCTTGGGGAGTAGAAGAACTCCCAGAACCCCATCAACCAGGTATCAACCAGGTTAATTCACGAGTTACTGGGTCTGGTGCGGGAAGGATTTTGTTTAACGTACCTCCCCCAATCTTCACGGAAAGGAAGGTCATCCCAATTCTATTGATTTTGATCATGGTTTCATGTGTGGATGGCACAAATGGACAGCTGTACAAATCAGACCTGGGAAAGAGAGAGAACAAAATGGCGGGAATGGGATGACTGAACAAAATTTCAGTCATCCCATTCGCCTGTAGGTGGTATGTGGTCGTCAAGGCTGATGTCTTAATTATTTTACAAACCTCTCTTAAAAAATTACCATTCAATTCCTGACCTCGGTCAGACTTTAGGGAGCCCAAGTACAATTACGAACCTAGGGAAGAACGCATCTGCAACAGTACGATCATCCTTCTGAGGTAATGAAATCAATGTAACGAATCTGGACAGATGACCCACTAATACCTACACGTAACGATTGCCTGAATGACTGTGATGGAGATCAATCAAATCGGCTCCCACTCGATCTAAAGGCTTCCTGTATTCTGTAGTGGGGGTTGTTCCTTAAGGGTACCTTTTCTCCTCTGACAATTGGAGCATGACTTTACAAATTTAATGATTTCCGTTAACGTACTTGGAAAATAAAATAAACTTAATATGACAGGCAGCATCTGGGTTTTATCGAAACACCCTTGTGGATTTGTTCCGACTGGGTGACCTGCAATCTTAGAAGCGTGTGCCAGTTTCATCCCTGATGATCCTAGTTCACCTGGTATAACCAGTTGGAACACTGCCCGATTTTTCTGGCTATTTACATAATATAATAACCCTTCCTTTTATTCAAAGTCTTTTAGTGGGTCTGTTCTGTTTGTTCTTTAGTGGGTCTGTTCTGTCTGTACTATTCTTGGAAGGATATTTCCCTCCCTCCCTTCCAAATGCAAAATAATTTCTTTCCACTTAGGTTCGTTCATCTGGAACAATCATCTTGTCACTTGAAATACCTTCAATATTGACATTTACATTAATAGCAGCAATGTTTCTGCTCAAGCTGTCTGGCACTACATGTGACGGTCCAGGTTTGTAAAGTATTTGGAATGAGTGAGCAAACTGTTCATGGGACCAGCATGGCATTCGTGGGCACTTGGTTCTTTAATTAAAAATGTGTTAGAGCCCTGTGATAAGTGTAGATGACAAAATGACGTTGGAATAGATATGGCTCAAAATATCTAAATGCCTCTACATCTGATAGCGCCTCCCAATCCGTGGCCGAATAACTAACCTCTGGTCCCTTGACCTTCCTACTGAAATAAGCCATTGGATAGGGGAGATTTTCTTTCATCACGTTGTATTAAACATCTGCCAACAGCTATGCCATTAGCGTCAGTGTGTACCTCCCACTCATCAAAATCAGGTAATGCCAATACGGGGGTTGTAATGATCTGACTCTTCATTTTAGCGTAGGCAACATCATGCTCTGTTTTCCCAATAAACTTTACATTTTTTTGTTAGATCAGTCAAGGGTGCTGATATATTGGCAAAACCTTCATTGTGGCGACGGAAATATTCGGCCGCCCCCAGAAACCTGCACACGTCCTTTGCTGTTCTTGGAGCTGGCATTTCAGCAATGGCACTGCAAGAGTCTGGATCAGGCCTGTTACCATCTGTGCTCACCTGGAACCCCAGAAACCGGAATTTCTGAGCTGCCAGAGTGCACTTCTGAACAATTAATTTAAAACTTGCTCAATCTAACAAATTGTCTCAGTGGAGTCTCATAAGTGTTCACCAAACATCCTGGAATATATCACATCATCATCCAGGTATGTAGCGAGGGCCTTCCCAAGACTGGACTGAGTATGTAATTAATGGCCCTCTGAAATGAAGGGGCTGTCTTTTGGTCAAAAGGCATCCTACAAAATTGGTAGGTTTGCCTGCCATCAGAAAATGCTGTCTTTTCCCTTTTTCTCAGCCACCAGTATTGCCCAATATGCAGACTTAGCATCAAAATTGGAAAAGTATTTTGCTGCCCCGAATTGGCCTCTTATATCCTTAATTCAGGGTAAATCATAAACAACACCCTTAGTAATTTTGTTCACTTTCCGGTTGGCCACACAAAAACGGTAACTACCCTCCGGTTTACGAACGAACACGTCAGGAGACAACCATAGTGACATACTAGGCTCTCTCATGTCCTGTCGTAACAATTTCTGGCACTTATGCTGGATAACATTCTTTGCCTGTTCCGTGAGCCTCCACTGCAGGGTGTAAACAGGCGCGTAGTCACCTGTTGCGATGGTGTGCTAAATTCTATCTAGGAGATCAATCTGGTCATCCTCGGTTGCAAACAATTTCGGGAATTTCCATAAAATCCCTCTCAACAGTTTTCTGTCTGTGGAACATGTTGCAAATCTAGCGCTGATAATAATTTCTCTAAATCCTGTGTAATATTATAACCTTTCTTATTTATGTTCTTCAATGGTCTCTTGTTCTCGGTAACATTTAATGCACTAAATTGTGCTATGATAGTTGGCATTTCAGATGACTCGTGGTGAAAAATTTGTGTATTGTTCACCAGAGTTCCCCAAGATACTCTATTACCTGCTCTGAAGCAATAGGTTTTACGAGAGATGTTGATTGGAATAAGTGCACCTTAATCAAGCACCACAATTAGATGGTGAGGAATTATTACTTGACATCTTCCAGCCACCTGTAGGGTATTTCCTGGTAGGATGTGACATCCCACGGACACTTTAATGAATTTTACAAAATGTGGTGGGCAACTTTTGCTTGGTCAGTGCATATATCCCACATGACCTCTTATCAGTGTCTGGAAGAGACATGAAAAGTAATTTGGGGTAATTTACGCTATACTTCTGCTTCTTTTTAATTAAAGCCACTAATGGAGGATGGTCGACCATCTCAACATGGCAAAAAATCTTTCCCAGCCTCAATCTGCACCTTTTTGTGCAGACTAGGAGTAATCAAATCTATTCAAGAAATCCATACCGATTACAATGTCTCTAGAAAACTTACTTATTTCAAAGTTACCCTGTCCCAAGATGTCTATCTTTTGCCTATTAACTGCAGTCAATTTATTTCCACAACTCTTAAGGCGTTGTGTAAAATGTCTCATTTCCAGCATGTCTCAACTCGTTGAAGACTGAATTTTTCATCAAATTTGCTTTACTGTCAGTGTCCACAAATGCCTTCAATCTCGCACCTTCCCCCTTCACTTCAAAAGTAGGTCTACTGTTATGGGGGGTCTCATGGCTGCTCTATGAGGGGTGATCTAGCTAAGGTCAAGGAGTTACTAAAATAGTGGAAGTTAGGTTAGGCCCAGACCCCAGGGAAGACAATTCCCAGCAAATAATACTTGTCCTAATCTATCTGTTGTCTAAGATCAACCTACTCCCTTCCAAATAGGGTCAATGGAAACTCCACAATACCCTTAGAACTTATTTATTGCCCCCTAATAACCCCCATACAAAAATACAGCAATACAAAAATTCAACAAATTACTTTACCACTTAATCTTACGTTACCCACTTGAATCCACATAGGCAGGATACAAGGAATACAAACTGCAACTTAGGGTAAAGTCTTCGTTCCTGACGGGACACTAGAACACACTTGAGTTTCACAGTAAATAAAGGTACAAATGGTCGGTCACCTCAAGCCATCCCAGAATAACGTTTGGGTTCGACACTGGCTTAAGAAGACACCACTAAATATCCTAGAACACGGTGGCACAAATACACAAGGATATAAATACTTGGCTTGTAACACAGGTTAAGGAGAGAGAGGAGAAGGATGAGTAGAGGTGAGGAACAAAGCCCACAAGGGCGTATGACCGGCCGGTTAGGAGAATCCAGCAGAGAAGACAGAGCCTAGCAACTCTCCCAGCCTTTCATGATTGTTGCCTGACGGATACCCAACTTATCATACAGTAACAATCATCCCAAGTTTTCACCCAGACACTCATTTCCCTGTTGCTTTAACAGTTGTAAGAATAGCTAACAAATAGCTCTATTTTATATTAATATTCAATAAGCACAGTCTGCCTGCTCTGAGCAACCAGATTATTTCTACGTCTGGCAGGGAAGACGGGAACATCAACAGACAAGGCTCCAGGTCTTTTGAATATATAAGTTATACTATTCAATATCTCTTACATAATCCAATCCTATCAATTAATGTTCTAATATTTAAGAAACCACACCAAATCCCTAAGTCAGGGCCTTCACTATCAGAATACTCGAGTGACTAATCCCTGCATGAATATAAAAGAACCCAATTTAACCCTTGGTTTCCTGGCAGCCAATTAAAACCAAGCGTCGTAACATCTACCATCCCTAGGGGTGATCTGTCCTGGGTCTCCATTAACCTATACACTTGTACAAGAATTTCGAAAATGACCTCAGCCATAACAGTTCCAACATAATTAATTACTAATGTTGCATCTACCAGATGCCTGCTTGCTTCCTCTACAAGAAATTTGCTGGGAGTCAACAATGGACAATGGGAGGGGAGGTTGGGGGAGCAGGATTGTGGGAGTGGGGGGGGGAGAGGGAGGAGTGAGAAGTGGGGGTGGGAGGAGGGTGAGGGATGAGATGGGGTGGGTGGCTTGGCTGGCCACAGGTGAGGAGTGGTGGTTGGGGTTGAGCGGGACAGGGAAAGTGTGAGGAGGGAAGGGGGTAAGACATGGGGTACGAAGAAGGCAGGATGGGGAGGGATTGAGGAAGTGTGGATGGGTAATTGTTGAGGAAAGGAAGTTTGGTCCGGGTGGTGTTGAAGGAAGTGCGTGTGGGTGGGAAGGGGTAGAGGGGGCGTGTATACAGGTCGGGGTTGAGTGGCAAGGTTGGGTGGGGGATAGGTTGTGGCTAGGGTGGGTTGGTGAGGGTTGAGGCTGGGGTGGGTAGACGAGTATGGGTGGGTGGGGATGGGATGTGGCTGCGGGGAGGTAAATCGGTAGGGCTTGGTTGGGAATGGGTTGTGGCTGGGGTGGGTAGATGGGTTGGGTGGGGATGGGTTGAGTCCATTGTGTCTCCATGAGAAATATACATTTTCACTAATTTCTTTAACTTTGAGACCTGGCGTCGGTTCCAAGTGAAATTTAAATGTACCTCGTGTCTCCATTAATGATTCAGTAACTTAAAAAGCATAACTCGACACAACCCTTGTAAAAATCATCCATGCGTCTAGAATGTGCTCAGAATTATACCAAGTTTGAAAAGATTCTCTATCATAAGAATCTGTACATCCTCTCGCTTGTGAGAGTTTGTAACCTGCAGCCGTCACGACCGGACGTATCTCTGGTTGCTCCTCACCTCAGCGAATAGCCTAGCTAACTAGATAGTGAATGGGTGTACTTCCTTCGACCTGCCCTGGAGAATGGGTCAGCTGTATTGCCTCGGCTCGGCCCTCGCCGGTACTAGCCACACAGTACCATGGCCTTCAAAGTTAAGGCACGGTTCCTAGAGAACCACGCATTCGGACGAGACGAAATTCTCAATGTACTCAGAGCCAACACGAACACTATACCCGACGACATCCAGCAGGACGACGAGGGTGTCGTCCTCTCTTACTCCACCGAAGACGACTTTGAACTCCTGCTCACACCACCTACTACGTCTGCACTGTATGATGCGAACATTACCCTCATCCAACCACGACGCTTTCAAGCTGAACGGACCATCTTCGCCAAGAGAGTCAACTCGTGGATCACCGAGCATGAGTTGGACGTCATCCTGGACAGCATCAACGCAGAAAACGACAACATGACAGCTGTCTCAGCAAAAATCATCGCCAACAGCTACGACACACGCTCCACCTTGAAAGTGACCTTCACTACAGTTGCTGCAGCTGAACTGGCAACCACAGGATTTAGGTGCTTAGGCGTCAACACGCCACCAGCTTCAATGCACATGGAACGTTTTTACGAGGTAAGCCAGTGCTACAAGTGCTACCAATACTCTCACGTGACCAGGAAGTACCCCTCAAAGTGTTAATAAATGCAGTGTCTGTGCCCAGGACCACCATTATAAGCAGTGTCGTGCGGACTTCACGTGTTGTGTAGTGTGCGGCGGTGACCATATTGCCATTTCTCACCTGTGTCCTGTGCGCAAGGATGAAATTAAGAAGCTATCGAGAGCTGGACGGGCTTCCGCAACTATTCGTGCTCCGTCACCATTCAACTTGCAAGCCGCCATTTTCCCGGTGCTGGAAGTGGCCTCGGGAGTTGGAGAAGCCGCCCACCAACGTACCAGCCAATGGGGACCGGCCATGCAGTCCGGCAGCCAGCCAGCCAGCCAACCAATCACAGACCCAGCCTCCACCACCAGGCTCCTCCCATTCGTCGACCCAGACCGCCACAGCAGTTGCCGGTTACTGCCACCGACCTTAGCACTGCATATTGTTATGATCCCAGGTAGCCGAAAAACAAGTCTCCCCTTTGAGAATTATTCTATCAAGCCTGACCTGACTATGAGGTCGGAGATATACAGACATGAAGATTCATATGTAAAAATAATTGGGTAAAATTTACAGAGTTTAAGATAATGGGCAGTGAATAAGAAATTAGATAAGTGACTGGTTATGAGATGTGGATAATTTGCTGGAGGTGTGAGGCTCGCTTCGAGAGGGCTTTGACCCCACTTGAGTACAAGACATCGTGAGGGGAAGCTGCGCTCCATTTGAGCTAACGTTAGAGAGGAACCCCTGTGTGACATACCTTCAAGAGGAAGGAAGTGTGCAGACGTTCCAGCTGTGGAATCTAGCTGGGAATGTGAGGTCTCAAGTCCTGGACGGCAAGGAGAGTTTGTTAAGCCGCCCAGAGACATTATCGTGGGCCGAGGGAACGCCCTGACCAGACGCCGTCAGAGGGAGAGCGCCCTCGACTAGACAATCTGTGGTTTGTCTTTGGAAGAAGTTGCTAAGAACTTCGAGCCAGTAGAGTGAGTTAGTGGAAGAGACTCAAAGACTGTTGAAGGAGTAGTGTACTCCGAGGAAGAGTAGCCCCACAGTGAAGAGGACCTCGAGTTGTGAGGAGAAGCAGTGAAGAGGAGTGTCATGTGCTTCTGTAATATTAGTGGCGAAACTCCAGTTCTGTTCGAGGAAACTTCATGGTGTAGCAGCCAGGAGAGCTGTGGAGGACCCTGGTAGAAGTGGTGAAGCACCACTGTTGCTCAAGGTGTGGCAGCCTAGAAGAGCTGCGGAGGATCCTGGTAGATAAACCCAGAAGAGCCTGAAGATATCAGGGTAGTGAGCTTCCAGATGTGGAAGGGAAGTTCTGCTTGATTACTTGTAGGGAGTTGCTAGAGTGTTTGGGTGTCATCAGTGTGCAAGACGCAGTGAACGGTGAGTGAGTGATTGCCATTTTTGTGCCAAGGAGTACTTATACTGAAGTATGGAGTTAGTCGTAGGCTGGATTACCTGCTGAGACATACATATGTGTTCTAGGACTGATAGGGTGATCGATTGATCATTGCTGTATACCAAGGAACATTTATACGAATATTTGTTATTGCAGCCATACGCTGGTTTTCCTTGTACATGTTTATAGATATATATATTCGCTTGCTGATAGTGCAACATTGTGTTATAAGACTTGACCTACTTGAGGAGGTTAGTTGTATTAGGTGGTGAATCAGGAGGTAGGATACCACTTGATAAGCAGATGATAGAGTTCTGATGGTATTGGAGTGCAACCTGACTGAGGCTGACGGTCAGCTGACTGGGTCAACTCCTTGAGCCGCGGGCGCACACCTCGCGCCTCTGGCAGCACGATCAGCTGACAGCTCCAACTGTCAGGCTGCAGGCAACCCGTTCTCGCAAATTCGTAAAGTCAATATTGACTTATTAACTACGTGCATAGGTGACATACTTAACATAATAGATACCCTTAAAAAGATTCATAGAAAACACCGACCTTACCTAACCTTGTTAGTATCTTAAGATAAGCATCTTATTGCTTCGTAATTGAAATTATTACTTAACCTATACCTATTATAGGTTAGGTAATAATTGTAATTACGAAGCAATAAGATGCTTATCTTAAGATACTAACAAGGTTAGGTAAGGTCGGTGTTTTCTATGAATCTTTTTAAGGGTATCTATTATGTTAAGTATGTCACCTATGCACAT